ACATATGATGATGCAGATGACTTATTTCTAGATATAACTCTGATGATTTGATCAGGAGGATAAGATATATATTTACTCATCATGTACAAATAACCTCATTTAGTTTTATAAATAGCATATTATTATGCAGTCTTTTAATGAAGTTTATGCAATATGCTTCAACATCATACATGTTTCAATTGCAGGGGTGAAGCTCTTAAACAGGGTCTGGTGATACTTGCTCTGATCCTTTGGTTGGGAGGAAAGTCTAGACACAATGGCCTAAAGATAAAATTTACAAGGTATGCTTTTTCTTCATCTCTCTATATTTGCCTCTTCATAACCAGTTAATTTTGTGTGTTTAATTTGGTATAACTTCCTATATTTTAGCAGGAAAAATATTTGTGCTATCCCTGGTTAAAATTTATGGTTCCGCCACTGTAAAGAAAGCTATTTTTTTCTCAATCTAACTCTAGTATTTAGCAGAGATTATTTGATGTTTATCGGTAAGCAATATTTTCCCTTTAGCAATTGAGGTTGAACTCGGAGGTGTCTTAAGGAGATTGGGATTGAATCGTGGATTGAAAATTTAAGGTTGAGCACAAGATTGATCCAAAAATATTATAATTCAAAAATGTTATAATCTTAAACTTTTTTATAATCTTTAAAAACTTGAACTGGTCTACAATTTAAAGTACTTAAAAAAATAGACCAGTAAAAAATTAACAAAAAAACTAAAAAGCAAAAAAATTAAAATAAAATAAAGCTTAATAATATTTAAGTGAATTAAAAAATAAACACATAAAGAACATGTATAATATGTGAAAAACATATAAAAAAACCCCGGCCAAAAATGAATCAGCAAACTTAACAAAAAAAATAATAAAAAAAATAAAAAATAAATTAGTGATAAAGAAGAAGACAATAAAAGAAGAGAATTTTCGGTAAATAACCAAAAAAGAGGGGGATTTTGAAGAAAATGACCACGTAAATGAGGATTTCGGGTTATGACCAAAGGTTCCGCAGAGGGGGTTCTGCGGAACCATAGAAACATCTGCGGAACCATAAACTCCTCTGAGGATCGGTAAAATCGCCGAAAATAAATCCATTCCTCATTACTCGAACGCGGAAGGAAGGTAGTCTAGTCGATTCGCGGAAGGGAATTGTTGCGGACGTCGGACTGTGATCGGAACAGACACAAAAATGTCAAGGCGAGCTCGATTTGTGGAGCAACTGCACTCCGATGTGTTATCTGATGGATATGGAACTCAAGTAATTTTTTTCCTAATCTTTGTATAAAGTCGGAAGTAGAAATCGATTATATGAAATGGAAATTGATAGGTTAAATGTTATATATAAACATGTATGTTTGTTAGGGTGTAAGGACTAGAGTTTGTGAAATAAGAAATCGATTTATGCAGAGGAGCCCTTCTTTTCGTCATGAACAGATCCGCAGAGGTCCTCTGCTCAAGAACAGATCTGCACAGGAGCCCTCTGCGGAACGGCATACGCTTCTGCGGATTTCTTTTTGATTTCCTATAATTATTATCTCTTAAAATGGACCATTGAATATTGAGATCATTTTATGTTGATTATATGTAAATTAATATTAAAATCGACTTCCAATTATTTCTGTAATTAAAAAAATACATTGAAAATTTCTATAATTATTATTAAAATGGACCATTTATGTAAATTTTATAATATATATGGGACCATTTCTGTAAAATTCTGTAAATTTGTTATAAAAAAGGGGACAATTTATTTTGAAAGATAATTATTCACGTAAACTATTGTATAAAAATTTATAGAATAAAAACGTTATTTTTGTTGCATAAAATTGTTAAAAAACAATATATATAAGTACAATGCTATAAATAAAAATAAAAGTACAATGCTATTTAAAGTTACTTTTCAGTATTATTTTTTTTATTTTGGCATATATGTTTAATCTTTTGTAGCATAGTTTGCGTGGATGGCTTGCAAAATGTACTTTTAGAGGGGCGTTGGGGACTGTGTTGGAAAAGTACATTACAAAACTAAATAGTAGGCGAGTTGAATTATTTCGAGAGACAGCTTTTAGGATCTTCATTGGTATGCCCATTCCAAATGGTCACCCGATGCTCTGCCATTTGATGATGTTGCATGTGGTTCGTGATGTAGAGGTAGCCAGGGCTGGGAGGTTTCGGTTCGAGTTACAAGGCAGGGTGGTTGAATATGGTGAAACGGAATTTTGTTTGATTAGCGGTTTGAGATTTGGACCGTATGTTGATATAATAAATATAAAAGTCAGCACAAGTTTAGCATTAAGGAATCGGTTGCTCCCTAATGTGAGAGATGAAGATTTACGGCTGAAAGATTTAGAAGACTACACAAAAGGGCCAGCATTCTCGACGTGTAGCGATGAGGACACGGTAATGGTTATGCAAATGATATTTTTGTTGAGGGGTCTTATAGGACGAGATGGCAATATGTGCATTCCGTTGGTAATGTATGAGCTAACCGATAGTCAATATAATTGGAACAGGTATTAAATTTATTATTTATTTATAAATACTTGATGATTTATATTAATTAGAATGAGTACGACAGGTTTGCGTGGGGTACATATTTGTGGAGGTATAGTGAAACACAATTACGATTATGGTTTGGTAAAATCTATAGATATTTACGAGATAATGAGGGTGAGGGTTGCACGAAGATGATGAAGTATACGGTTTAAGGTTTTCAGCTTCCGTTTAAGGTTGGTTTTAGGTGCAATTACTTGTATTTTTTAAGTGCTTATAAGTTTGGACAAAGCATAATTTTTTGTCGTAATACTAGGTATGGATTTTGGAGACATTTCCTGAAGCTTTGAGGTTTGCGCATCACACAGAAAATGAAATTCCAAGAATGAGGGCATGGAGAATAAAAACACAATTGTCTCTCGAGCAACGTTTATGTATATTAGACGTTTCAGTGGTATAGTTATACATTCCTTATATTAATTATATATAGTTAAAAATTACAACAATTTTATATACTTAAATTTAATTTTTTTAATTTTGCAGGTAAATAACTTCCCACATGATTTTGAACCAATGCATATTGAGATCCATTTTCCATTCTTTTTGTGTTATGTAAGTTGGACTCTAGACAAAGTGTAGTCGCCACCACAACAACAGAGTCCTCCTAAGGAGCGGTCTCCATCACCGCAACAACATAGCCCTCCTAAGCAGCGGTCTCCATCACCTTACCCGTCTCAGTTTCAGGGAGCAGACTACACCTCAGGCTCTCATTTTCGGGGAGCAGATTACACCTTAACCTCTCATTTTCAGGAAACATACCACATACTTCTACAAGACAGTAAAATAGACAAGTTAATGGGCATTGTTGCTGAATTGAAAACCACAATCGAGCACTTTGGGAAGAGAATGGATAATTGAGAAAAAGATAAACAATTTGGTGTGAACGATATGGAAAATGTGGATACGGGGGAAGCATTTTTTCGTGGTTTGGATCCCGAGTCAGGCTATACGTATGTGCAGACGCCACCATTTGTTGTTGAAGTTAATGATAACACAGTTACACCGTTAAAAGGGCGGGTAAAAATGAAATCGAAATTTTGTAGGGAGCCTTACACACATGTATAAAATTAAGTAATTTCTATTTATATAGTATATAATCATTCCAAATTAATTAACATATTAATTTTGAAGGTTCCGTCGACGGAACCATTGAAGAACAGAAAAGGAAAAAACCCGCAGAAGTTCAATAATGTAGCAAAAAGACCATTACTATTGGACAGTTATGTAGATTGTGATGATGAATTTTGGAAATTGTGGGGAAAGAAGATGGGAGCGATATTTGTGAAGCATAGACTTTTAAGAGGTATTGAGATGAATTGGGAATTTTGGTCAAGTTTACTTGGTATTGGCTCTGGATGGTTGCTCTCTGAGGTAACACACATCCCTTATTTTATATTACAAAAAGTGTTGGATAACTAATTGTTCAAAATGAATTTTTTTTCTAACACGCAACATTTGGTTATCTGGGCGTCCCTGCTCAAGGAAATAAATCCGTCGACTGGTAGGTGGACGATTATTAATCCTGAAGGCATGACTTTGGAACCTTGGAAACAACATTATTTGAGGCGTGTAGCAGCCGGGATGGTTGATGGACCACATTGGAAGGATATTAATCTGGTTAGTATATTTATTTATATATATCATATAATATATATATATATATATATATATATATATATATATATATATATATAAATTAAAATATGTATATATCTAATAACTTATCATTTTTTTGAAGGTTTTAATTCCCATCAACATACCGCACATGCATTGGTATTTGGTTGATTTGGATCTCCTTACATGGAAAGTGAGCATATATGATTCAACCGAATGGTCTGGTTTCTTTAAAAAATATGCGGGTGACGGTAGTTTCAAATCGTTGGGAGATAGTATATTAAGTGAACTAGACCACATATCATATTGAGCCCATTTTCCCAATAGACAGAAACCTATTGAGGTGGAATTCATTAAAGCTAAACATGTGCCACAGCAGGAAAAAGTAGAAGAAGGAGAAAGAGGAGATTGTGGAGTTTTTGTGTGCATGTTCATGGAAATGCTTGCATCGGGTGTACCAGTGGAGACAAGTCAGTCACCTATAGATACGAGATTTAGTTACCGTAATAGGATGACATAAATTATTTGGAATAGTAGACTTTGATTGTATTATGATTATTGTTTTAAGAATATGTTATTATGCTTTGATTATGTTATTTGGAATAGTAGACTTTGATTGTATTATGATTATTGTTTTAAGAATATTTTCTTATGTTTTGATTATGTTATTTGGAATAGTAGACTAGTCGTCCCTAATTACCAATTGTCATTGGGATTTTACAAAAAATACAAAATGCAGCACATTACCACTTTAGGCTAACTTTACAAAAGATACAAAAAAACCTTCACATCCCAATACATACAGCTACACCAAAAGCTTCACATCCCAACACTAATTAGCTAACGTAAAAACAAAACAAACATGAGATACCCAACAACTAGAACAACTACCAACAGCTTGTACATGTGTATGCTCTTCTTGGAATCACACATCCCCTTGTCCATGCTTGCCACTAGATTCTTCTCCTTACTCAGGAGAAATTCCAACTCAGCATTCTTAGTCCTTAAGTTTTTTATGACACCAAGATCCTCTTTGGAATCCAACTGCTGCTTCATGGAATAGATGAGGTTTTTGTAGTAACCATCTTCCAGTGCAACATCTTTCCATTCAAAGTAATCACATTTCCTCAGTCTTGTTTGTATCAAACCCACATGAATAAAACATCAAAACACAATCACTAATCACCCAAGATGTATTTTAAACAATCGTGATCGTACATGTATTTTTAGAAACGAAATCAAGACAACAACTTAAGATAATCAAAATTACTTTTAGGGTTTTTTTCATAATGTAATGGGTTTTTGATAGTGAAGCCCTAAAAAATCTTGCATTAACAAATCAAACTAGATCGAAGCTTACAAAAAGTTGTTGTTGCAGTTCCAAAAACGTTTGTTGGGGTTAGTGAGCTTCCAACATGTATGTTCCTTAACTGGAACATCGTAGTCACAGTTGTTAACATCGTCTTTAACAAACACACGAGAAATTTGGAGGCGATTTCTTGCATTGGACGACCTCGCAGACTTTGTTTTGAAGAATCGAAGGGTAAGAAAGCAATACTCAAATCGCATACATAGTGTTGAAGAATCTGGGTTTTTGACACATCACTTACCCACGTAAGAACTGTTTTCTGCAGATCATTGTACACCTCTGCGGATCAGCGTACACCTCTGCAGATCAGTTATAGAACTGTTTTCTACGGATCAGTGTACACCTCTGTGGATCAGTGCACACCTCTGTGGATCTGTGTACACCTCTAAGGATCAATGTACACCTCTGCGGATCAGTGTACACCTCTGCAGATCTATGTACACCTCTACGGATTAGTGTACACCTCTGCAGATCAGTTATAAAAGTTATAGACGTATTTAAGTGGTTTTTTGTGAGTTTGTGAGTTTCAATTACCAGTAGAAGTTGTTTTTTCGTTGTGTTTGTGGAGAGTGATTTGTAAAATGAGTTTTATTATTTTGTGTACGGGAGGGTCATGACAGTTAGTTAATGGAGATGAGGTTTACGTTAGAAATAATGTGAAAAACTATGGTTTAAATCTTCCTCCTAACATTGACCATGAAATGTTATTACAAATGGTTAGAAGTAAGGCAGGTGTGTTAGATAGTCATATATGTTTGTCTTTTAAACACCCGGAGTTAGGGTATGTCATGGAGCTTGGAGATGAAACTGATGTATTTCAATTGAGACATGTAATGTTTGAATCAAAGAAGACGGTGCATTTGTATTTAATGGTGGTAGGTGAAGAAGCTGAAGAACAAGCAGTGGTTAACAACCAATTTAATCCAGCAAAAACTAATAGAGGTCGTAGAGAAAGCCAATGTGATGGATACCGTTCAAGGGGAAGAGGAAATAAAGTGCCAGTGGGTTATGAAAAAAAAGTTTCGATTACTGATAAATTTGTATATGATAATGATACTTTTGTATCAGATAATGATAAAGAAGCAAAAGTGGGCATGACTGAATTACAACGCCAAAATTTGTTCGAGTTTGGAGAAGTTCCTGAAATTGATGATCGAAGATGTGAGGAAAAATCAAATGAAGGGTGGTCGGATGATGAGTACACGCAACGAAAAACTACTTTTAATCTATGGTATTGTATTCCTTCTATTCCTGATTGTCCAGAACCTATTCTTGAACCTGGACCATTTCACAGTTTAGGTCCGAATGATAAATTATTTGTCAATCAAACCCATAACACCAAAAAAGAGCTAGCATTTGCTGTTAAATTCAAATCTGTTAGAGAAAAGTTTCTGATAAAGGTTGAAAAATCTTCAAAATCTCGGTACCAGGTTGTTTGTATGCAAGAAAACTGTCATTGGAGTTTATACGCATCTCTCATTAAAGGAACAGAAATGTTTGAAATCAAGACGTTTAATGACGAGCATACATGTTCTTTATTTCTTATACACCCAAATCTAAGGCAAGTAAATAGCTAAGTTGTGAGAACCATAATACATGACATTATGGATCAAGGAAGTTTGAGAGTTTGGAAGCCTAATGATATAATTAGAGATATGAATGTTTTGCTACAAATAAATATGAGTTATTCAAAAGCGTGGCATGCTAGAGAATTTGCTTTGGGATTGATGATGGGGACCCCCGAAGAAAGTTTCTCCAAACTACCAATTTATTTTCACAATCTGAAGAAACATAATCCTGGTACTGTGGCGTACATAAAAACTGATTTGGAGGATCGTTTTGAGTATTGATTTTTCGCTATTGGACGCACGGTAATATATTTTTAAATATATTTGTTATTTTCTTAAATGTTTATAAACAAATTATATTGTTGATATATTAATGGTTTTTATATTGTTGTTGCAGATACGTGCTTTCAAAGAGTGTTGTAGAAAAGTTATTATTATGGATGATGCTCATTTGAAGGAAAAGTACAAAGGCACCATCTTGCATGCAGTAGCCATAGATGGCAAGAATCAGATCTTGCCTATTGGGTATGGAATTTGCCCAAATGAGACTACAGATTCTTGGACATGATTTCTTGAAAAACTACATGAATGCATTGGTGATGTGGAAGGTCTCATAATGGTCACAGATAAGGCACCCGCAATTGCTATAAGTATTCAAAATGTTTTTCCAAATGCTCAACATGGATTGTGTGGTTTTTTTCTAATAGGATTCATAGTCCACGCCTTTGGAAAAACAAAAAAACAGCAATTTTGTTTGGAAGTTGGTAAGAGCTTACAAAGCCACTAAGTTTGAATTCTATTGGGGGAGACTTCGTAATATAAGAGATGATGTAGCGACATATATCAGTCAAATTCCACGTGAGAAATGGACCAGAGCGTATTGCGCTACCACGAGGTATGATTATATGACCTCAAATAGTGCGGAGTCCATGAATGTTGTATCAAATAAAGCAAGGAAGTTGCATATATTACCACTTATTGAGTTCTTTCGCGCACTTATGCAGAAATGGTTTTACAAACGGCGGATAGCTGTAGGTATGATTATGTTTAATTTTAAATTATATGATAAATGTCATATATAATAATATATGTTTATTTTAACAGAAAAAGTACAACAATACTTACGAAGTGGGCTGGAGATATGGTTAAAAAAAAGAGGGGATTCAAGAATGGTCGGTATCCGGTGTTGACAATACAACATATCAAGTGTATGACTTCAAAAGTGGCGGCATAGTGAATTTGAGGGAAAAGACTTGTTCTTGAAAATATTGGCAACTAACTGGTTTGCCATGTGGTCATGTGATAATGATTTTAACGCACTTGAAAAATGATCATTGTGGGCATATGGCTATAGATGCTTATAAAATTGAAACATATCAAAGAACGTACGAGCAGACCGTATGCCCTCTTTCAAAACTTAGTGATTGGGAGGTTCCGGATGACCTTATGGTTGTTAACCCTTCTGTGATGGAAATACGTCAAGCCGGTAGACTAAAAACACCAATCGTATTCCCTCTCAAGGTGAGGAACAAAAAATAAGAATGTGTAATATATGCCATAGCACAACTCGTAATGCAAGGATGTGTAAGGAAATCGTTCCAAAGAACCAAAGTAAATGTAAAAAACGTACTCGGGTGTCAGGAAGTGGGACAAAAGCGACAGAAGAGGAACTGACGCAAGCGACCGAAAACCAATGGCAACATGAGCCAGAGAACCAATGGACGCAACATACCGAACAACAATGGCAGCAACAGCCAGACAACCAATGGATACAACAGACCGAACATCAATGGCAGCAGCAGCCAGACAACCAATAGACATAACAGACCGAACATCTATGGCAGCAGCAACCATACAACTAATGGACGCAACAGACCGCACATGAATGGCAACAGGAGCCACAGAACCAATAAATGCAAGGGACCGAATACCAACCGCAGGAAGAGCTACAGAACCAATGGCAGGGTTGCACCGAGTACCAATGACAGCAAGAGCCATATAACCAATGGACGCAAGCGACAGTAAACCTAGGGACACAAGCAACAGAAAACCCATGACAGGAATACGAAAACATATCAAAGTTTCGTGGTTCGATTTGAATGAATGAAGTTTATTTCAAAGTATGTTTATTATGAAGGTTGTATGTTTATGTTTTCTAAAGTATGTTTTGTAACCTACTTAAAGTATGTTTATTATTCAGAATACCGGTGTGTGTAATTTTATAAAAAACATTGAATATTTATATAATTTTTATTTAACACACACATTTTTTAAACGGATAATTAAATAAGAAAAAGAAAAAACGAAAACAATTTTTTTTTTTGCATAATAATCACATAATGTGATTAAAAATAATAATATTAATTAACGAAAACAAAAATAAAAAAAAACAAAAAAACAAAAAAGAAATTAAAAAAAAAAGATCAGTAGAGGTGTTTATGGTTCCGCAGAACCCCCTCCGCGGAACCTTTGGTCGTTTTCCGAAATCCTCATTTTCGTGGTCATTTTTTTTTAAGTAACTCTAAATCTTGGTCCTTTGCCGAATAAACTCATAAAAGGATATGACTGCTGGTGCAATATTTTATAGAATTCGACTTAAAATGTGATTTTTACTAAACTACCGGACCTTATTTGTAATTTACTAACATGTACTTTGAATAAGTCAAAACCTAATCTTATAAAGTGTTCTGGTCCCTGTTTCAAACTCGTTCGAGATCGATTGCTTTGAAACGCTATGGCGCCGCCTTTTATCCGATGGGGTTCTTGCTGTAACTTGCTAAAATGTTCATGGAATCTCCGTTTGAACTTTGTTAGATCGCTTGCCTATACAACATGCTCCGACGTGTCTGACACATGTTCGGATGCCAGTCAAGCGCTAGAAAAACTCGGTAAGTTTAATGTTATTAATGAAACCTTGGAGCAGTTGAAAAGAGAACGGAGCAGTTGGTTGTTATTTCTCCGTCAATTGAAAGCGTCTGGTTTTAAACATGATTTAGAAACTTATGTGGCAACCCTTCGATTGGTTTGGCATTGGCATTGGTTATGCATAATACAAATTGGGAAGTTTTTAGGTTTGAAATTTCTGATGATCTGTTGGACGCATTGATGGAGGAAAATTTGATAAAAGTTGTTGATCGGTTGGTTGAGGTGTATGCAAGTGCTGGAAGGTTTGACGAGGCGATTCAAGCCTTGTCCGAGATGAAAAGTAGGGGTGGACTTATGGTGTCAACAGAAACGTGTAACTATCTGATGAACAAGATGATTGAGTTGGGGAAAGTGGACAGGGTAGAGTTTGTTTACTGAAAACTGAAGAGGTATGGGTTGATTCCGAATGTGTATACATATGGGATTCTGATTGAAGGATATTGTAGGAAGGGTTGTTTTATAGAAGCTTGGGGCGTGTTTGGACAAATGGAAGAGGCTGGAGTAGAAGCTAATGCTTTCACTTATGGTAAGTATATTCACGGGCTTTGCTCGAGAGGGGAAACTGATTTAGCCTTTCAGGTAGTAAAGAAGTTGAGGGAGTCAAATAAGCCGGTTGATGTTTCTGCATATGCTTGTGTCATTCGAGGTTTTGTTAAAAAGCGGAAGCTACAAGACGCAGAAGATGTGTTTTTTCACATGAAGGTTAGAGAAGTTGTCCCTGATGCACATTGTTATAGCGTCTTAATTCAAGGGTATTGTCATAAAGGGGACATTGTCAAGGCATTGGATCTCTGTAAGGAATTGGAATCAAGGGGTATTGAAACCGATCATAAGTTTGTGAGATGGATGATGCAATACTTGTGTGGTATGGGCATGCTTGATGAAGCTCTACGCGTGTTCAAGCATTTTACACAGGAATCAAGGGTTTTCATTGATGGGGTCTCGTTTAATATTGCTATTGATTCTGCACGTAAACTAGGGAAAATGGATGATGCCATGGGATTGGTAGAAAAGATGAAAAGCAGGAAAATCAAGCCTGTTGTTATACAGGCACTAGGTTTAGAAGCTACAGGCACCAACCAATAAGATTACACATGCATGAGGGTTTTTTTTAAGCATTAGAGTACCTTTTTAATTTACTCGTATGTCTCCTTTTCCATGTTAGCAGTTTTATTGTTTAATGAGTGGACGGACATTCTTGATCTCATTTTGTGAATATGGTTTGGATATTGGGAATATTTGGACCTAAAGCCAGATATTGTTTTGGATTTCATATTGCAAACCATAATATTTTCTTATATGTTTATTTATTTATTTATTTATTTTTTATATTAGTTGTGTATTCGCACAATACATCGGAATATATAAATAAGTTTGTGTACCAGGTTCCATATGTGGTATACATGTGAAAATTTGTACTAGGATTTACCACCATACATAGTTTAAAATTTGTAATAGGATTCACCACTAAACATAGTTTAGAGGTCCTCAGCTTGGCACATGCCTTAGGTCATGTCACAAATCGTTTTTCTCCCTACGAAGACTCGACTGTCGGCATCTACCACCTTCTACCCCATTATAATGGGATTCCCGGGTCTCTTGTTGTCGTCCACTAAATAAGCAGGAACTGATTAAATTACAATGCCCCTCAGAAATTGAGTTGGTGCCCATGATATCTCCTATGGCTTCTCGCATATTTTACTGCTGGAATGGTCTTGGTTTGAAGGCGGAACATGTATGGACTATATTTGTCTGTATGATATAATGATGCCATATTTTAACCAATTGTTGTTATAATTGAGAAAGCGTTGTCCTTTTTTCATAAGTCTAACACATGCAGAGTTATTACCAATGTTTTAAAAACCGGTTTGAACCGGCCGGTTGAACTGGTTAGACCGAGAACCGGAGCAGGGAGCGGTTCAACTATCACCGGTTTTATGCCGATTTCCGAACCGGATTGAACCAGCCGGTTTTTAGAAAAAACCCGGTTGAACCGGTCAAAATAAACCGGTTAAACCGAATAAAAATACATAAAAAATAATCATTTGCATAATAAACTTTGCTATTTAGTTTTTTCTAAATAAAAACATACGGTAATGTTATAAAGTTTTTTTGATGTGTTTGTATTCATCTAAAACTATATTTTGTTTCGTTATTATACTTTATTTTCTTTTTGACGAATATGGATTGATGTAAAATATTAAAACTTATGGTTATATGTTATTTTAGTGTATTTGGATTGATCTACAACTTATTTTTATATGTATATTTAATGTTTGAACTTGTAAATGTCAAATTCATGATTTATATATGTATGTATGTATATATAAGAAAATAGAAAAAAAAAGATGAAAATTATAAAAACCGGTTAACCCGACGGTTGAACCGGAAACCGATCACCATACTGGTTCAACTAAAAAACCGATTTTTAAAACATTGGATTAAGAGTTGTTCGTACTATAATTTCTTTTGCAAAACACATCATTACAGTTAGAACCTCGTGAAAACATTGATGAATGGTTTGTGTGGAGTGATGAAATCTTCATTTAACCGCTCGAAAACGTTCATTATGTCCTATAACATGTAAAAACATAGCAATCTTCTCTTCAATGCTTATTGTCCTACTAGCTTGCAACCAACTTCTTTGCGTAAAATGATTGCATAATAATACAAATGTCTCTTGTATAAGACGCATCATATCGTAACATTCTGTAGGGTCTCCGTGTATCAAATCTTGCGTATACGAATACCCGCTCGAATCGTTATCTCTTATTCTATGAATTTTTTTAGCCTTGGCCGGTTTAACCTCAACCAATACAACACAAGTAAAAGAAAAGCTAAAGCTTCACCATTAGAAATCACACTTGACCTGTAAAAAACAATTACATATAACATGTCAAATATAAAATAAATAACAACCAAAATATTTATCTGATAACAAAATTCATGTCAGGGGCGGATTTAGGGGTGGTCCAGGGTGGCACCGGCAACACCAAACTTTTCCGGCCGCATTGGAAAAAATTTCGAAATTTTTTAAAATTTTTATTTTTTCTACTATCGTGCAACCCTTAATTTTCCCGTGCAACCCCTACTGTGAAATCCTGCGTCCGCCCCTGATTCATGCACCAAAATTATCCAATAACAAAAGTTATACATATAAAAGTCATCAAACGTAGCATAACAAAAGTCATACGAGAAGTCATTAAACCTAACATCCAAAAGTCATGCAACAAAAAACTAGTAAAACTCATCAAACCTAACATCCAAAAGTCATGCAACAAAGAACTAGTAAAACTCATCAAACGTAACATCTAAAAAGTCGTCAAAGGTAACTAAACTTCCTTCCTACACTCCTCACCCACGAGTCGCAAGTAGAAGGCATAAGTCGTAACCAAACTTTCCTAAGATCGATACTTTCAACAAATAGTAAAAGAGCGGTCTTGTGTCTTTCATCTTCTTCTCCTCCATCTCATTTTGCCAATTTCTCCATACATGCATCTATGTCCTTATCCATTTCACTTCTTTGATTTTGTTCCACCATCGTCCTTGCAACCTTGATGATTTCCACCTCAACTTCTAGTGCCCTTGTGTTTCTCTTGTTTCCACCAACTGTTTTGTTTCCACATACTCTTATTTTTAGAATGTCCCGAGGATTTTTCACTTGCAGCTACGTGTTGGGTTGAGTCGGGGGTTTCTGTTTCAGTGCATTGAACCTCATCAAAGTCAAGAATCAGTGTATTCAGGAGTAGGACGAGGGAGTGTAGAAGATGGCCCCCGACTATCAAAGCTGGTAGAGGTTGACCCTTCAAATAATTGGGTGCACAGATCAGGGAAAAGGAGGGACACATTTTTCAAAGCTCCTACAATCTTGTTCAACTGTTTAAACTTTTGAAATTATCAAACCATTAAAACAATATAATCATATTCTACTATTTGTTTTAAAATTATACGAGTATGTATTACCTTTGTCTCCGTCTCCCATTGTTCGTCAGTCAAATTAAATTTATTTGTTAAATGATCATATATATATATATATATATATATATATATATATATATATATATATATATATATATATATATATATATATAGGATCCGGTTCCGGTGAGGACTCTTTTTTCGGTGAAGACTCGTGTGGACACCTTAAAAAAATTGAAAAAAAAATCTAAAAAAAATACAAATCATAAAATCGAGCATAGTACTATATCGGAGAGAAAAAAAAATTGGAAAAAATTTTTGGATCACTAAAATTGAATCATGGATCATAAAAATTGAATCATGGATCATAAAAATGATTCATGCTTCATATTTAATGATCCAAAAAAAAAAATCCAATTTTTTTTCTCTCCGATATAGTACTGTAACATCCATAAAATTCAAGCCAATTTTAAACTTTTTAAATCATTCAAAAACCGATAACTATTACAAACATGTTTTCAAAATGGTTTAATGTCAGAGTATCCCATAATTAAATCATAAAAACATAAGGAGGTGCACGATCACGTCTTCGACTTCCCGCGATCATCAGAACTACTTAAAACAAAATCAACAACTGTAAGCCCGAAGCTTAGTAAGTTCCCCCAAAATACCAACGCCATACAAACCATATCAATATCATATAAACAAACAACATGCATAATGAGCCTTCAGCCTGACTTGACCACCTCGCAGGGCCTTCAGCCTATCTGGATCGCTCTCCGAGCCTTCAGCACGTATGGACCGCCACGCAGGGCCTTCAGCCTATCCGGACCGCTCGTCGGGCCTTCGGCCTGACTAGTATGCCCTCTCGGGTCTGTAGTCTATCCTGTCCGCCCATGGTATGTTGTCCTTCCGCACAAAGCAGGTCCGCCTCAACCCAACCCCAAATCAAACAAACAGGTGCACATAAATATCATACGCTAGCATATATAACCGTCAACTGATCTAATAGATCACTAATCATAGCAACATCCTATAACCAGGATACCGACCTAACCGGTCACTACATATCACCACCCTAACTACCAGGATGCAAATCAATAAGCATATTATGCAATAAACCCGGATACAAATCCGAAAAGGGTCAACATTGGTGCCTTAGACCCTGTTGCTATAGTGAGAAGAACTCACCTCACAAATGTCGAACTGTAGTGATAAGATCAAACTCTCGAATCACAACCACGAACTCCACCACCTATATTTACCATAAGACCACTTCCATAAATTCCCAATTTACTAAAATACCCCTAGAAGTCAAACTCGTCAACCCTTGGTCAAAGTCAAAGTCAACGGCCAAGGTCAACAGTCCATGTTGACCCAACTCGTCGAGTGCAGCTTACTGACTCGTCGAGTCCTTCTAGAACTCGAGAAATCGTGAAAATCCTAGTTGACTCGCCGAGTTTCTAGACAACTCGTCGAGTCCATGCGTGTCCGAATGTTGGGAAAAACCCTAACTGACTCACCGAGTCTTCTTACCGACTTGCCGAGTTCATGCAGAACCAATACAGGCAATCTTCATCCGACTCGTCGAGTCGGCCATGCAACTCGTCGAGTCCCTTCAGTCCATTTCTCATCCAGAAGTTTTTAAGCTACCCCAAAGCTTCAAATTGCAGATCTAACCTTCTAGGGCATGGTTTCCACATAAAGTTCCAAACTTTACGTACATACATGGTCCTAAATGCCAAAACCAAGCTGAGGGAAAGGTTTAACCCAAAGAGGAGGGCCAAAGCTTGCTAAATGTGATAACTTTATGACTATAGGGACTTAGAGGAGTCCAGATCTGAAGTTACAACTTCAGATCATGCCCAATAGTCGAAATAACACACAACCAACTAGAAAATGGCCCTAAACCATTACATGGAGAGATCCAGCTAAAGATAAGTCAAGGTAACGACTTGTTACTTTCAAAATGATGCCAAGATGAAGTAGAGTCATATCCACAAGCTTCACTTTGCTCCAAGCTTCTTAGACTTCAATCCTTCTTCACAAAATTCCCTTTCCAAGCTTCTTTACACACAAAAATGGAGAGTACGCGAGGTTAGGGTTTTCTGGACTCAAGGGGGACGGTAAGGGAGGCTGAGGGAGGCTAATGACACTTTAAATAGGTG